AAAAAAAAAGGTTAGCCAGGTGTGGTGAAGCACACCTGTGGTCCCAGCTGCCTGGGAGGCTGAGATAGGAGGAGTGCATGCTTAAGCCCAGGAATTCAATGCTGCAGTGTTAGGATCGCTTTACTGCACTCCAGCCTGGGCAAGAGTGAGACCTTGTCTCAAAACAACAACAGAGAAAGTTAGGTGTCCTAGTGAGTATTAGGAAAAAATGTATAACCATCACATCAAACCCATGACTTCACGGATTGTTAATGCTGCATCTTCAGTACCTTAGAGGAGCAGCCAGTATGTGGTTGATGTGCCAGTGTCTGTTGAATGTATGTGTGACTTAGCGAGTGAGCTTCCGTAGCATCTTTAGCATATCGCTGTCTACTTTTTATATAACTTTAAAAATCATTCTGTTTGCAAAAGTATCACAGTTATTTCCTTAAATTTATAAAATACAGTAATAGACAATGAAAATAAAAGGGATTGAAGTCTGACATGCAATGACGTGGGTGTCCAGGCTACTTCTAAGTTTGGTTATCTCTGTCAAAACTTGACTATTCTGTCTTCTGTGGCTTTGCTTTGCTTTTCTCTTTTCTTTTCTTTTCTTTTCTTTTCTTTTCTTTTCTCTTTCTTTCTTTCTTTCCTTTCTTTCCTTTCTTTCTCTCTTCTCTTTTCTTCTTCCCCTCCCCTCCCCTCTTTTCTTTTCTCTTCTCTTATATTCTCTTTTCTTTTCTTCCTTCTTCTTTCGAGATGGGGTTTCACTATGTTGGTCAGGCTGGTCTCGAACTCCTGACCTCAGGCAATCCACCTGCCTTGGCCTCCCCCCAAGTGCTGGGATTACAGGCATGAGCCACTGTGCCCGGCCATGGCTTTCTTTAAATAGATGAAATATATTCTGTTTTGGGGGCAGTTTTTGTTGTTGTTGTTGTTTTTGAGACTGAGTCTCGCTCTTTCGCCCAGGCTGGAGTGCAGTGGTGCAATTTCGGCTCACTGCAACCTCTGCCTCCTGGGTTCAAGTGATTCTCCTGCCTCAGCCTCCAGAGTGGCTGGGACTATAGGCACCCATCACCACTCCTGGCTAATTTTTTGTATTGTTAGTAGAGATGGGGTTTCACATGTTAGCCAGGATGGTATCAATCTCCTGACCTCATAATCTGCCTGCCTTGGCCTCCCAAAGTGCTAGGATTACAGGTGTTAGCCACCACGCCTGGTTCTAGGGGACGGTTTTTTTTATACTAGTAATTGAAATTACAGTTGTCATGCTCAAAAAGTTAATGTCTATCTGAAATGCACTAACCATAATGGGAATCCCATTCATCTATGTATTTTTTTAAACCACATTTTCCATAAGGCTTCACATGTTCCTTTGCAAGATTTTACTTGGCTCTTGTCTTTTACAACCCAGGTAGTATGGCAGTTTAAAAATAGAACAGGTAACAACTTTCTTTTCTTTTGACATAATGTGGTATGTAGAAGGTGAAAGGATTTACTGTGTAAAATCCAGGAGCTGTAATTCAATACATTTTATGAATCATTTCTATTAGAGTGATGAACTCAAACTGATTTCTCCTGGTGATTAGTTATGGACGAATATTTGTTGTTATATCATTGGTTTTAGGTTTCCATCTAGAGGCTTCTGGATTAAAATACAATTAAATTTAACCACAGCAATGCCACTACTGTGGAATAAGTTTTAAAAAGTGGATTATCATATAAATATTTGTGTCAATAAAAAAGTGGATTATCCCAAAATTTAGAGAGAAATTCATGAAAATGTTCATTGCATTTGGCGCCTAGTCATGGGGCATGTATTATTTTTTCCCTACTCTTCAGCCTACAAATTTTATTTTACATAGCTTTATTGCTTTTTTGGTGGGATAATTTTAAAAAATAGTATAAACTGTGTCTGAAATGTCCTCTTGTGATGAGCCTAATACAAACCCATTTGGATTGTACACTGAGCTCCTAGAAAGAAGGAAAGAGCAGGCTGCCCCAGGTCTGTAGCCAGGTGGCACCTCTCCTGGGATCAGTGCTTTTTACTTGTTATCATATAAGCCTTCAGAAGCAGTTGTCCCCAGCGTCGTGTCTGAGTGTGTGCTCAGGAAATGTTATTTTTCCTGAATGTGGTGGCTCACGCCAGTAATCCCAGCACTTCAGAAAGCCAAAGTGTGAGGATCACTTGAGCCCAGCCTGGATAATGTGGAGAGACCCCATCTATACCAAAAAAAATTAAAATTAAATTAACCAGGTGTGACGACGCATACTACTCAAGAGATTGTGAGGCAGGAGGATCACTTGAACCCAGGGAGTTGAGGCTGCTGTCAGCCGCTTCATTTCATCCTGGGCAACAGAGTGAGACCCTGTCTCAGGAGAGGTGGTAGCATGCTCTGCCGGCTGTGTGAGTTCATTCAACTCACCCAACCCATGTGGGCCAAAATGTCCCCTTCCATAAAACAGGCACTGAACCTCCACGCAGCAAACTGAATTAGTGCATCTGCACGAACAGTGCTGTACAGAGAAAGCTCAGTAAATGTCACTTTTCCTGTTCCCTGGTGACACACTCTGTGCCCTGGATTCCCCATCTGTTAGGTGGGGTGATCGTGCCTCTCACAGGTGGTTACAAGGAAGATGACTGTTGTCTTCAGAGGTAGTCCCCTGTGGAAGGGCTTCAGAAAAGATGCTCATTGACATCAGAGCCAGCCATGGGGCCCTGGTGGGCAGGCTCTGGTGACTCTCTTCTCTGTGCAGGCTCTGTGAGAGGGACCCCTACCAGCTGTACCAGCGTCTGGAACAGCAAGCCCGGGAGTATGTGCTGGAGATGAAGGTCCGCCTTCTCCGGCAGCTGTCGGCTGCCGCCAAGGTGAAGGCACCATCTGGCCTGCAGGGCCCACCGCAAGCACACCAGTTCATCTCCCTCCTGCTTGAGGAGTATGGCGCCCTCTGCCAGGCTGCACGCTCCATCAGCACCTTTCTTGGCACTCTGGTAAGAGAGAAATGTGTTTTTCTTTCTGTTCAGGTGAACTGAAGAGAAGCATACGGCAAGAGGAAGCGTCTGATGCTTGTGTGCTGACCTCGCCATCACACCCCCACACACTGTCATAGGCCCGTGTCCTCTACAGGAGAGGACCCGTTTCCTCTTTGTCTTTCCTGTGGACTTTGCCACTGGATAAAATCATGGGGTGGTTCGATAACCAGGTGACACCTCAGGGAAGTACTATTTGGAGGACCCTGAGGCCCAGGGAACGAGGCATGGGGGAGCAGTTTGAGGTGAGCACTGATATGTACCATTATAGGGAGACCGAAGTCTCCGGTGTCTTGCTTAGGTTCATCCTTTGGTTTCTGTAGACAGAGCCGGTGTTAGGGGACGTGCCCATGAAGGCTGTAGAGAACAGCTTGTTTACAGCCCGGTGACATTCATTTATGCATGCATGCATTCACTCAACAAGCCAGCACTGAGTTAAGGTTAGGCTTGCAGTCTCAAGACAGGCCCTGTCTCCAGCCTGGCCAATGGGCATCTGATCGTCCTAACAAAAGAGACACAAATGGGTCCAACTGCCTCAAAAGAGGAATTACCACAGTGGGTGGAAGGAGCATGGTACAGAAATGTGGTTCCAGGTTGGGTGCACTCAATTCTCAATAGCCTCAATGCCTCCGCGGTTTGGAAGGAGACCAGCCGCCCAGACACAAGCCCTCAAAGCTTCCTTACTATTACTAATAGTCTATGGAGTTTTTCATCATCTCTTAAACTTTATTATTAAATAATTCTTCACTGTATTTGGGTGCTAGTTTTGGGTGCTTGCTTTCTTTAAATAAAGAAAAGGAATTGGCTGGGCGCGGTGGCTCACACCTGTAATCCCAGCACTTTGGGAGGTCAAGGTGGGTGGATCACGAGTTCAAGAGTTCAAGACTAGCCTGGCCAAGATGGTAAAACCCTGTCTGTACCAAAACTACAAAAATTAACTGGGTGTGGTGGGAAGCACCTATAATCCCAGCTAATCGGGAGGCTGAGGCAGGAGAATTGCTTGAACCTGGATGGCAGAGGTTGCAGTGAGCCAATATCATGCTGCTGCACTCCAGCCTAGGTGACAGAGTGAGACAGAGTCTCACTCCGTCCCCAGGCTGGAGTGCAGTAGTGCAATCTTGGCTCACAGCAACCTTCACCTCCCGGGTTCAAGCAGTTCTCCTGCCTCAGCCTCCCTAGTAGCTGAGACTACAGGCACGTGCCACCACGCCCAGCTAAATTTTGTATTTTTAGTAGAGATGGGGTTTCATCATGTTGGCCAGGATGGTCCCGATCTCTTGACCTCATGATCCACCTGCCTCGGCCTCCCAAAGTGCTGGGATTACAGGCGTGAGGCACTGCACCTGGCCGGAATTTATTTATTATGGTTAAGAAGGCTGAGAAGTCCAAGTTTGTGGGGGAACATCTGATGAGAGCCTTCTTGCAGGTGAGGACTCTGAAGAGTCTAGAGGTGGTGCAGGGCATCACATGGTGAGGGGGCTGAGCATCTAGTTTTAGGTGCTTTCTTAGTGGTAAAACTACATTTTGAAACAAATACAGTAAATGTTGGCATTGGTCTTTATCTGATTCTAAAGTTGAAGGACCTCTGAGAGAAATTTACATGCAGGCCGCGTGTGTTGACTCATGCCTATAATCCCAGCACTTTGGGAAGCCGAAGTGGGAGGATCACTTGAGCCCAGCCTGGGCAACATGGGGAGACCCCATCTATACAAAAAAAAAAAAAAAAATTAATCAGGCATGATGACACATCCTACTCAAGAGGTGTGAGTCAAGAGGACCACTTGAGCCCAGGGAGTTGAGGCTGTGGTGAGCCACTGCACTCCAGCCTATGCAGCAGAGTGAGACCCTATCTCATAAAGAAAAGAAAAAATTATATACATAGAATTATAAGTCATTTCAGGGGGTTCACAGACTTCCTCAAGCTTCACTACACCAAGCCATGGGGAGGTATCCATTCTGAGAAGAGGTAGCGAGGTGAATGGGTAGGGTGGGAGGTGGGTGGGTGGGCAGTTATCCTGTTTCAAGGTCTGAGTCCACTGGGTAGTGCCACCAGGCTTCCTTGTGGTACCTCTTCCTTCCTCGGGCATCTCTCGCAGCACTGCCTCCCTATCTTCACCCGAGAGTCTGCCTGTCCTTCAGAGGTGCAAATCCAGAGCCCCTCCTCTGTCTCCTACAAGAACATTGGCTGAGGTTAAGAAGGATGCTCTCCAGCCCATCTGAACCTGTGCCCAGAGAGACTCTGGTAGTGAAGAGAGCTGCTGCTGCTGCTCTCCAGAGAGTGCTGCTGAGATCTGTGCCTCCTCAGATAGTTACTGTAGGATACTGTTTCATGAAGCTGAGAAAAATTAATTGGAACCATATTTATTAGAGCAAATTCCTAGCAGTTTACATAGAAATAATTTCTCATGGCTTGAAAAAAAATGCATAAACTTGGAAGCTGTTTGATCAATGTCTTTTTTCACTTCCTTTACACATAGAAATATCCACATTAGTTTCTAGTGGTCCAGCAGATTAGATACCTTTAACTGTTCCTTCCTCCAAGGGAAACAACTGAATTTACTAGATACTAAAAAATAATCTGGGCACTGTGGCTGTTGCCTGTAATCCCAGCATTTTGGTAGGCTGAAGCGGTTGGATCACCTGAGGTCAGGAGTTTGAGAGCAGCCTGGCCAACATGATGAAACGCCGTCTGTACTAAAAATACAAAAAATTAGCCGGGCGTGGTGGCACGCGCCTATAATCCCAGCTACTTGTGAGGCTGAGGTAGGAGAATCGCTTGAACCCGGGAGGTGGAAGTTGCAGTGAGCTGAGATTGTGCCACTGTACTCCAGCCTGGGCAACAAGAGCGAAACTCCATCTCAAAAATAAATAAATAAAAAAGATGATATTTAAAAATGTCTGGCTGAGATGGTATGAAAAGGAGTAAGTTGTGGTGAAAAACCAATTGAAAACTGGAATCCTGAGAAATATATGGGCTTGAAAGTCAGCATTTCTTACTGGGATTTCTTCTGATCCTGGGAAACGAGATACAGCCTAGCCCAGGATGGGGTCTGCACATAATGCTGGGACTGTAAGTGACGACACCCCTCAGTAAGGTTGAAGTCAAAATTCTGAGCATCGAAAGGGACATCAGGGATGCGCAGCATTTATGGCCTCAGGGTGGGGATGCAGGGAGTACAGCTTCCCAGAGACTTGGTAGCTGTCAACCAGCTGCCACCTGAGTTGGAGTCTGAATAAATGTTGGTGTGGTATGAAACAGCCCAAGCCTGGAAGTTACTTTACAGTGGTCCAAGGTTGCTGGTAGAGTCAGGCAGCTGCTGGTCACCTCTGGAAGCCTTCTATGTGACCTCAGAATTCAAATAGGTAAAATATCCCCAAATGAGCAGCTCACAGTAAAAAAAGTTATGAAACACAATGTTCATGACAGCACGGTGGAGAGCCAGCAGAAGCAATAGACAGAATCACAGAACAAGAGATTTAAATTTTCAAAAAATTTAAATCTTCCGTAAGATTAAATTGAACTGTGCTTAGAGAAACTTTGTAAAAGTTTGAAATTAGGAGTTAAGGATTAATACTTTAAAGAATGACCATTCAGATTTGAAAAGAATATCAAACATAATTTTTTGGAAAAGCTTAATGGATAGATGAAACAATAAACAGCTGAAAAGAGAACTGGTGATTTGGAAGAAAGAAGTCCAGGAATTCTGTAGAATGCAACTCGAAGAAACAGAGATGGGCCGCATAGGAGAGGTTGAGACCTAAAGGATGCAGTGAAGAAGTCTGGCCATCAGTAATCAGACTCCCCAGAGAAAAGCAGAATAAGGTAGAGATGATAGCTGAGGAAGTATCAGAACTACTGAAAAGTACTAGTGTTCAGCAAGAAAGCTTATCAGATTTCCCAGGTAGAGATGTTGAAAAATCCTTCTCTGGATACAGCATAGTGACAGCTACAGAACATCAAAGAAACAGTGATCTCAAACACGAAATACAGGACTTTGTTGAAAATGGTCTGTGAGATTTCTGGATTCTGGGTAGAGGCTACAGTGAATCTCTATGTACTCCTTCACAATTAATCAGCATTTTGCCACTCTGACTTCATTTTACCTTCTGTTTCTTTCTCCTCTGCCCTCTTTTTTTTTTTTTTTATACAATATTTTAATATTGGTCCCAGACAACGTGCCTTTTTGTCTTAGAATATTCCAATAAGTGTCTTTAAAAGTGATCATCCATTATCTTATGTAGCCACAGTTCCATTGTCACATCCATGAAGGCTGACAGTAATTTCTTCTTACCGACTAATAACCAGTCTGTATGAAAATACTCCAGTTACCTAAAAAAATCTCTTTTTATGGTTGGGTTATTCAAATCAGGACCCCAAAATCTTCACAAATGTATAGCCACATTATTACACTGCCACCCAGTGATCTATGCAGCTTAAGATAAACTTGAACTCAGTGTCTCAGAGCAGTAATTCTCAACATTTTTTTTTTCTTTTTGTTTAGAAAAGCAACATGATTGTGATTATATTTTCTCAACATTTTTGACTCAGGCCCCTTTATACTTAAAAATTTAGGACCCTGAAGTGTGCTTTTTTTTTTTTGGAGATGGAGTCTCGTTCTGTTGCCCAGGCTGGAGTGCTACAGTGGCACGATCTTGGCTCACCATAACCTCTGCCTCGCAGGTTTAAGTGATTCTCCTGCCTTAGCCTCCTGAGTAGCTGGGCTATAGGCGTGTGCCACCATGCTCAGCTAATTTTTTATATTTTTAGTAGAGATGGGGTTTCACTATGTTGGCCAGGCTGATTTCAAACTCCTGACCACGTGATCCACCCGCCTTGGCCTCCTAAAATGCTGGGATTACAGACATGAGCCACCTTGGTTGGCCAAAGCATGCTTTTTTTAATGTGGATTTTTATTAGTACTTGCTGTATTGACATTCAAACTGAGAAATTTTTAAAATGCTTATTGTCATTTTAAAAATATAAACTCTCATTAGAGTACATAAATCACATATTTTAACATATATTAAATAATGTAACAAATAACACACTTTTACATTAGATAATGTAACATAAATAACATACTTAAAAATAACTATTTTCCAAAATAAAACTTTTTTTTTTTTTTTTTTTTTTTGAGACAGCTTTGCTCTTGTTGCCCAGGCTGGAGTGCAGTGGCATGATCTCGGGTCACTGAAACCTCCACCTCCTGAGTTCAAGCGATTCTCCTGCCTCAGCCTCCCAAGTACCTGTGATTGCAGGTGTCTGCCACCACACCCAGCTAATTTTTTTGTATTTTTGTTTTGTTTAGTAGAGAGGGGGTTTGACCTTGTTAGACAGGCTGGTCTTGAGCTCCTGACCTCAGGTGATCTGCCCACCTGCAGATCATGCAGGATTGTTGCATAGATAGGTACATGGTAAGGTGGTTTGCTGCCTCCATCCCCTGTCACCTATGTCTGGGATTTCTCCCTATGTTATCCCTCCCCAACCTCCCCCGCTCTTGGCCAACATACTTCTTAAGAAGAGTGTGTCACTCACACCTCTCCTGATCTCTGTAGAGGCAGTGGAAGTCTCGTTTGCTTCTGTATCCAGTCTGTTGTCATAGGTTGTCTGGTCTGGTTGAAGTTATTGAAGAAAATTCAACTTTTCACAGATATGTAGTTGGAAAAAGGAAGACTATTTTCATGTCCCATCAAATCCTGATAAACCAAGATGTGAGAATTTAATGGTTAGTTGCAATTTAGTCTGAAACTGTATTACTGAACTTACCTTACTCTGTTCCATTAAAATCCACAGATTCCAGCTCACCCTCAGTGGACCCTCTACTTATGCATGGTTTTCTAGTGTCATCCACAGGTCACTTTGCAAATATTGGTTCACTGAATATCTTCTGGATGTTGACATTTTTATTAATATCAAAAATGATATTTGTTCATATCACCACTGATCTCATCAGAAAGGTCTTTAAATGTGTATTACCTTTCAAGCCAACAGCAGCAAATGCAACTTTTCTTTTTTGCTTGAAAGCTTAGATTTTTTTTTTTGAGACAGAGTCTTGCTTTGTCACCCAGGCTGGAGTACAGTGACACAATCTTGGCTCACTGCAAACTCCACCTCCTGGGTTCTAGTGATTCTCCTGCCTCAACCTACCAAGTAGCTGAGATTACAGGTGCCCATTATCATGCCAGGCTAATTTTTCTATTTTTAGTAGAGACAGGGTTTCATCATGTTGACCAGGTTGATCTCGAACTCTTTACTCAGGTGATCTGCCTGCTTTGACCTCCCAAAGTGCTAGGATTACAGGCATGAGCCACCGCGCCCGGCCGAAAGCTCAGATTTTATGGTTAGCCACAAATCCTGTCACTTGTTTTCTTTGAAGCAACAGGTTTAATTTGATGTGCAGACTCTGCCAGCTAATTCTTTAACTCCATTAGCCCTTCTGTGAACAGCACCCTCATTTTACTGTTGTCTCTTGGACATAGATATTCTCAGAAATGCAACTCTACTGGAGAATGCCCTCATGTGAGGTTTATTCCACACTGCCTAGGGGGATCAAACAGGATAATGAGTCACATTTTTTTGTACTTAAAGTACTAAAATAAAATTGGGGGACTGAGTGTGGTAGCTCACACCTGTAATCCCAGCACTTTGGGAGGCCAAGGTGGGTGGATTGCTTGAGCCCAGGAGTTCAAGACCAACCTGGGCAACATGGTGAGACCCTGTCTCTACAAAAGATACAAAAATTAGCTGAGCATGGTAGTGCACGCCTGTAGTTCCAGCTACTCAGGAGGCTGAGGTGAGAGGATTGCTTGAGCCTGGGAGGTGGAGGTTGCATTGAGCCAAGATTGTGCCAATGCACTCTAGTCTGGGCAACAGAGCAAGACCCTGTCTCAATCGATCAGTCAATTAATATTTTTTTTGAAAAGAAATCTAAAAATAGTAATAAAATAAAATTGGGTCTAGGCTTAAGTTATGCTTCCAGTCATCTAGGAAATGCCTCACCATGCTATAATAGTCAACTCTAAATTTTCATCCACAAAGACAGATCTCAAATATCCTGCTGTTTCTGTCTATTGTAGGACTATATTCTAAACATCTTCTCTTCCTTCTTCTAAACCTTTTTTGTAGTGGGATGTGAGAACAATTTGCAAAGCCTGCCCTTGGATCACTGACAAGCCTTTCTGTCTCCAGCTCAGCAGTTCTCCCATAGGCCTCACCCCTCGTAGGAGCTGAGACAGCATATCCTGCAGATCCCACCCCTGCATGTCCTGATCCAATTACCCGAGCCCCTCTGTGCTGGTTCCACACCTATAGATGGGTGCATGGGCAGGGCAGCACCAAGTTCACAGGAAACTTGCTGGAGGCATTGAGTTCAGCACTCAGAACAGTGCCTGGCCATGGTAGGCATTCAGGTGTTAGCATGTGTTACTTAAGGAAACGCCAAGTTGATTTTAGGTCGTGAAGTGAGTCTGAAATCTGCTGTTTTGTCTTGCATGCCTCACCTAGAAGTGTAATTTTAGATGTTATTAAAAGTGCCAAACATCCTCATAAATCAGTCTTCACCCAGTGACCACTAGCATCTGTCCCAGAAAGCCAGACTTGTGATTCCACTCATAGGCAGGCAGGTGGAAACGGCTATCCCAGAGGTTTCCAAAGGAGGCCAGGCAAAGCCTCAGCTCTTCCAGGAGGCCTCTCCCTCAGCTGGTCACTAGCCTGGTCTGATCTGGATGCTGCATTTGCTCCTGTGTACTCTTTGTCTTGTAGCTAAATTGTAAGTCAGGTCACTACCTGCTCTTCTGTTCCCCAGTAACCCCTGGAGGGCAGGTGCCTACTGTAGCAGGAGGTAGTCTTTGTGTCCTCATACCTGGCACAGCACCTGGGCAGCATGGGTTTGGTACTTCACCTGCTTCATTAGTATGAGCACATTTGTGGGTTCCAGCCTGGGGCCGGGTATCAGTTACCTGTTCCTGGTCTCCTGCCGCATGCATTTTTCCTGTACTGAGTGTGCTTGCTCTGAGATACGCTTGGTGTGAAACAGGAGTGATGGCATTTCAATCTGAGAGGGACTGGTGAAAATACGATGAGGAAAAATATTGGAAATGTTAACAAAATGGAAGGGTTGAGGTTTTCTGCAGATGGCATAGATTCATTGGTGAATCTCTCAATCTTTGTGTTTCCAGGTGTGAAAACAGAGCTCTACCCAGCAGGGCTGGCACACGGTGGTCTAGCAGTATCACTGGTGTGCGCTCTCCAAATGTGCTTATAGGAGTTTACTTTCAAGAACAGAAGTTAATCATGATGATTTGTTCTCTCAGCCCACATACCAACTAGGGTTATCAGGTGACATAACAATGAAATCTTTGTGTCGTTCATTTGCTAAGGTCTCCATCAACTCAACTTGGCTATATTGTAAACAGGAGCAGACCTCTAAACCCAGTCCCTGTGAGTGACCCGACTCAGGAGACGTGGAGTAGCCAAGCATGATGAAGTGCAGTTTCCAGAGCTGGCGATTATTGAAGTCAGGAACATTCACCCAAAGATGTAACGTGATCTGAACACAAGTAGTGTCGGTGTAGTTCACAGAGGGAAGCATGGATTCACACACGCATGGTTGTAGCAAGACTTATTAAATGTGAACATTGCATTTAGGAAAGGTAATAATGGCGTCAACCCCAGTGATCTTGTGTTGGGGGCTTACTGTACATCTCTGTTGACATGCCTCTGTGATGACTGGACGCTTCTAGGTTTTCATGGTATTGTCAAAGTAATTGATGAGTTTGGCTACATTTATTAGGAAGACAAAAGACCTTACCTCTAATAGGGTATTGTGAGCGGAGAAATTGTGTGTATTAATTAGAATGGAAGCTTTCTCCAAATAGGTAAGAAAATTATTGTCCTTTGGCATTGAGGGACTTGATGTATCTAAACTGTTTGAAGTGTAAGGGTTTTCTTGACATTTAAAAAGCATAATTGTGAGAAATTACTCTCAAACATGCGCAGTTACTACTTTGCGTGCACACCTGCCACCCCTGTTTTTGTGTCCCTTCTAAACTTGCCATTTTAGAAGGGAAGTTCGGTGAAACCATGTCCTTGTAGTCAGAGTTCTGATTCACTGCGTGCCTTGGGACATACAGGGAGAAGGCTCGGGGCCTGTGGAAAGGAATGTGGGCATGGCGGGAGGAGCAGGGTAGAGGGGAAGGAATCCCTCTGGGAACTTTCAAGTGTTTAGCAATCACTGAATCTTCTGTTTATCTTTTTTTTTTTCTTTAACTAGGAAAATGAACACTTGAAAAAGTTCCAGGTGACGTGGGAACTGCATAATAAACACCTGTTTGAAAATCTGGTCTTTTCGGAGCCACTTCTTCAGAGCAACTTGCCTGCATTGGTGTCACAGATCAGGTATCTGGCCTTAACCCGTGTGTGTCTTTGTGGTGTGACAGCACAGTCTTTTCTCCTGACTAGTGTGCATGTAGCTGAGTGCAACCGAGTGTGAAAGTTCTTGCAGGAAAAAATCACAGGGCTTAGAGAAAAAGATAGTTTGGGCCAAAAGCTCAAAACCCAAGAAGTAATACAATTAAACTTTTAAATGGTAAGTCAACATAAATGCCTCTAAGATTTGATACCACAAATTCCTTATAAATACAGAAAAGCTACAGTAAACAGTGCTTTTCCTTGACAAGACCCATTCTTGACGGGCAGCCATAGTATGGTTCATGCTATGACTCTTGGACATGCAGGGGACGTGGAGGAGGGAAGAGACCTGGGTCTGAGGGTGACTGAGGCCCCCTGGACACAGCTTGGTGTCTTTTCCATGCCTTCCCGTGCTGCTTGAGGCCCCGTTGCTTTGTCTTCTGGTGTAGTGCATCCATGTGGCTCCTTCATGCTTGGGAGGCTGGCTGGCTTCTATGCTTTCACTGAGAAAGGGGTACAGAGTGCAGCAGTGACTCATGGGGTATTGGCTTGGGGTCAGAGTGAGAAGGTTTAGGTTGGGCCTGTATTTGCCCTGTTGGTACCATGTTCAGTTGGGAGTATGTTCCTCCGGATGTGATGTTGCTCAGCAGATCGGAGTTCCATGCACTTGAGTCATGCATGAGCTGTCACAGGTCTGCAGTTTGGTGATTTTGTTCTATTTACTACATGTGAGCACATTTCCATAATACAGACCCATTGTGACAGCAGCCATCTACATTTGACCACATTAAAATATACTTAGGAACCGGGTGCGGTGGCTTACACCTGTAATTCCAGCACTTAGGGAGGCCTAGGCATGGATCACCTGTGATCAGGCATTCGGGACCAGTCCGGCCAACATGGTAAAACCCCCGTTTCTACTAAAAGTATAAAAATTATCCAGGTGTGGTGGTGCACACCTGTGATCCCGGCTACTCAGGAGGCTGAGGCAGAATTGCTTGAACCCAGGAGGCGAAGGTTGGCCTGGGTGATAGAGTGAGATGCTATCACAGGAAAAAAAAATCATTAGGTTCACAGAGCCAGGGAATAGATTATTGTTCTGTTGACTACACCAGTTACTGCTTGCTTTTTTTTTTTTTTTTTTTTTTGAGATGGAGTCTTGCTCTGTTTCTCAGGCTGGAGTGCAGTGGCACAATCTTAGTTCACTGTAATCCCAGCCCTTTGGGAGGCTGAGGCAGGCGAATCACGAGGTCAAGAGTTTATGACCATCCTGGCCAACATGGTGAAACCCTGTCTCTACTAAAAAATACAAAACTTCCATCTCCTGGGCTCAAGCAATTCTTCTAAGCCTCCCGAGTAACTAGAATTGGGATTATAGGTGTGCACCGCTGTGCCTAGCTAATTTTTGTATTTTTAGAAGAGGCAGGGTTTTACCATGTTGTCCATGCTGGTCTCAAACTCAAGTGTCTACCTGCCTCTACCTCCCAAAGTGCTGGTATTACAGACGTCAGCCACCATGCCCAGGCTCCTATTTTTCTCTTAAAATCCGTAGGTTGACCCAGTCTTTGTTTCCTGTATTTCCAAATTTTATTTGAGGGATCCTGACCACCTTCACTTCACAACTTTACCTCTAGAGAAAGCAGTTAGGTCAAAGAGAATTGAGGACAAAGAGATCACAAGCTACACGTGGTGGCTTTTACACCTCTAGTCCCAGCAACTTGGGAGGTTGAGACAGGAGGATTGCTTAAACCTAAGAGCTGGAGACCAGACTGGGTAACAGCAAGAACCCATCTCTTCAAACAAACAAACAAACAAACAAACAGAACAGGGTGTTATGGGGGGTGTGGCCAGCTGGCAGGTGGGTTGCAGATACTTCCAGTCTTCCCTGTGCCCCAGCCTGCTTCTCAGCCATTCCTTCCCTTCTGTGGCCACCGTGTCAAGATTGGAAAGTCCTTACTATAACCCTTGCAGAAGAAAAGGCTTCGGAAGAGAATTCACAGTGGTGAATCTGGAACGTGGAGCAGGCTTTGTCCCTGTTTATGATTCTTCAAAAGCACTTTTCATGAGAAGGCATGCATCTTGGGAGAGGATTTCTAAAAACATGATTCCAGGGTATCTATCTTTAAAAAAAAATTTACTGGTAAGCCAGTGAGTTTGGTATGCCTGTCCGACTGTGGGTGGGTGACTGAAACCTGAAGTGTATCATAAAACTCCCATTTTTTTCTGTGTCCTAGTTCTCGATTTTCCGCTTGCTCATTGGGTGTAATGGTCAGACTGCAACCATGAGCCATGCCTCCAGTGTGGATGCTGGGGCTCACACTGCAGCCTCAACTTCTCACTTCTGAGACCCAGGGGCAGTTGAGGGAGAAGGATAAACACAGACAGGGACGGAGTGAGGCCAGCCAGCGCGTTCCCGGAGCACCACGGATGATGCCAGGACACGCCATGCCTTTGTGCTCTGCAGCCGACTCACTTGTCAGCATGAGACTGATTCGCCATAATTCAGATTTGCATTGCTAGTGTGCAGATACACATTTAACAATTCATAAAAATTTTGCTACTGATGGCCAGGCGCAGTGGTTCACACCTGTAATCCCAGCACTTTGGGAAGCTGAGGCGGACGAATCACGAGGTCAAGAGATCATGACCATCCTGGCCAACATGGTGAATCCCCGTCTCTACTAAAAAATACAAAATTAGCTGGACATAGTGGCACGTGCCTGTAGTCCCTGCTACTCTGGAAGCTGAGGGAGGAGAATTGCTTGAACTCGGGAGGCAGAGTTTGCAGTGAGCCGAGATCGCGCCACTGCACTCCAGCCTGGCGCCTGGCAGCAGAGCAAGACTGTCTCAAATAAATAAATTAAATCATAAGAATTTTTGCTACTGATTACATACAGACACTGTCTACAGCATCTGCATCATATGAAACACATATTGTACCATTTACCTACTTAAAATGTACAACTCAATGGCTTTTGGTATATTACATTTTTTAAAAATTATTGTAAAATGTGTATAACATAAAGCTAACCATTTTAACTATTTGAAGTGTATATTTCAATACCATTAATTATATTTATAGTATTTATAACCATTACCGCCATGTACTTTAAAATTTTTTCCTCACCCAAAACAGAAACTCTGCCCATTAAATAGTAACTCTCCATTGCTCCCTTCTATTTTTCCCCTATAGCCTTTGAAAGTCTGTAATTGGCAGGTTCCTTCCCCCAACTCCCGATCCCTTTTTGTCTTAAAATGTATCTGTTAAAGAACTGGGCCATCTCTCCTGGGGGTGCCTTGGTTTGGGTCCTGCGTGGGTGTGTTTACAGAGTAGTCTAGCCACCTCCATCCTCTGTCATGCTTGAGAATTGGTGGTGGGATCTGAAGGCTCTGGACGGCTCTGCTCAGATCCCCTGGCCGGCCGGTCGGGGGGGCGTAGGGGTGTTTCTATCGGGGCGGATCCCTCAGATCCCCTGGCCTGTCAGTGGTGGGGGGTGTGTTTCTATGCTTCTATCGGGGTGGATCCCTCAGAACCCCTGGCTGGTCAGCGGGGGGTGTTTCTGTCTGGAGCGGATCCCTCAGGCCTGCTTCTGTTAGTTGTGGGTGTCAGTAGCTCAATGTGGGTTTCACTTTAAATATATGTTAATTAGGCTTATAAAACTTACCCAAACCAATGTTATTTCATTCTCCTTGTCAGTAATGTTTCACATACACATTATTGGTAACATTACAGTGAGCCTATTTCCATGGTGCTGTCTTATATTGCAAGCTCAATATTTAGACAGAAACCTGTTTGCTGAGCCATTGATTTAATTCAACCCTGTGGATATTCCCTGTGACTCTTTGATCCTAGCATAGCTTTGCTTGTGGGGAAGCCCTGTGCCTGCAGATTGCTTTCCAGTTACACCACCAAAGATACCCACGCACCCCTCCCCCACCTCTTTTGCTCTCCCTTGGCTCAGAGTAATCTGAATTCTATAACTTGGAAGAGATAAGTTCCTGCTTCTGGGAGGAGTGGGACAAGGAACACATGACAGGGTGTAATGTTGTGTCCCAGTTTTCTAGGTGGAGCGAGGAGGGGCAGGTAGGAATTGGGTAGAAATTGGATTCTGTGCAAGAATGGAAACCAGTCACGGAAAAGCAAGGCTGGCAGAGGAGAAATGGGAGAAAAATGACTTCACGGGCTGCACTGTGGCAGAACCCCAGTGCCGCTGGAATCTCAAGTCCGTGTCTGGAGGAGTTTTGTCTCCTTAGAAGAACTGCTTTGATGTTTTGAAGTGGCCTCAGTCCTGTGTGTCAGAACTGTTTCCTTCCTTTTGCCTGGCTTCCCTAAATGACTGCCCAGTTACACCTAACCTCTGCTGCTTCCCCTGGAGAGACTGCAGTAGGTGAGCGCACAGATGGTGTCAGTAGCCGAGACTTCCAGGCACGATTTACCTGAGGGTGGAGATGGGGGAGAAGAGGGAGTCATTCCTGCCCATTTCACCTGTGAAAAGATCCCAGTTTTAACATAGCTTTACTGTTTATCATAAAATTATTAGATTGTCATTAAAAAATAATTCTGAAAACATAGAAAATCATGAACAAAGTTAGGTTTTATAAATAATTTTCTATTTCTTACACATTTTTTGCCTATGTCCACTACAAATATTTTTAACATGCTGTAGTCATATCTTTAGTTAACCATGGGCATAGCTCCATTTCAAAATACATACATGTATATATACATGAGTGTGTGTATATGTGTGAATGGGTGGACGTAATTATAAAAGTGGTAACAAGCATCTAGTTATCTAGTACTGATTCTTCTAGATGTGCCATGATACATTTGGGTGGCCTCTAGTGTTTTATATAAACAATGCTGATCCCTAACCCTGCACAGAATCTTTGTGCTCTTGATATATTATAAATGTTGTATTTGATTCTAAGCCATCTTTGTCAAGATGTCTTTATTCCACTTACTTTGGCTCACACTGATAGATTTAGGTATTAGGAACATGATTTTTTTCTGGTAATAATCTACATGTGTCTCCACACCTCGCTTCATCCTCCTCCCGACCCTAGCCCCCAACCTTCTGTCTCCCAAGGGCTGTCGTGCTTACAGTCTCTTTTAAGAAATTTAGATATTTTTCTCACTGTCCACCTGCATGTGTGTCTTCTGTTTCCCATTTATGTTCTCATTTTCCATTGTGCCATCTTTCTTAATAGAATATAATATAGTAGACAGAAAACTATTCTATTTCTTAAATAAATCAAATTTTGGTCTGCTTGATTTGAAAACCAGATCTAAATTTTATATCTCATTAAATGTTTTGTTTTCTCTGAGCCAGTTGTATAAATAATGATAAACCAAATATGAGACTGCAAAAATACCTTTGCAGTCTCATATTTGTTTTATTATTTTTAATTTCCATTTTTATCTGTTTTAGTTTTTTAAGTTTTTCATTTGCAACTCCGTATTTGGTAAACTGAATTATTAAGCCATAGTCATTAGAGATGTGTTGTTTAGTGCTCATTTTTTTCTTAGAAGCTGTTGTTTCCTTGAGCATCTCCTTTTTACCAGTCTGTCCCGGTGCCTTGCATGGGGAATCTGTCAGTCCCAAACAGCGCCCTGCTGTGGTGCAGAGTGGCACCCTGTTTCCATGTTAGGAGGTGAGATGACAAAACAGGATGGTAGCAGCAAGAAGCACGTTTCTGCCTTTGGGTTGTTTCCTTTGTTACAAGGCCTTCTGTCTCCTAGGCTAGGAACCACCACACACGACACCTGCAGTGAGGACACATACAGCACCTTGCTGCAGAGGTACCAGCGCTCTGAGGAGGAGCTGCGCAGAGTCGCTGAGGAGTGGCTGGAGTGCCAGAAGAGGATCGATGCCTATGTGGATGAGCAGGTGAGTGCTGCCCGGGACCACCACACCCTGCGCACACCCTTGGATGGCCCTGTGGAAGGCAGCATCAAGACACTAGCTTCGTCCTGAGCTGCAGGCCGGGAATGCACAACTGAGGGCTGGAGGCACATGTGGGTAGCCCCTGTGTGTCAGTTGCTGGTTTTCCAGAAGGGATGGGAAACCCGTTGGCGTCACAGATGGCTTGGCCCTGCTGTGCCTGAGGTGTGGTGGCAGCAGTTGGTCAATTTCACCTTGCCCTGGGCACACCTGCTATCACACCCACGGACTGTCACCCAGACTCTGCACCCCAGGTAGGAGGTTTCTAAGTTTAGGAGCCATTTACTGAGCACTCTCCTGTTGAGAGCTCGTTATCTGTCTGTCCCAGTCTAGAAGGGAGTGCAGACACATATACAGGTGGCAGGTGGCTCACAAGGTAGAAGACAGAAGAGGAAGGGCACCTGCTGGAAGTGGATCTGAAGGGAGGGCGCTCAGGCAGCCCAAGTCTCTCAGATAGAGCAGTGTTTTGAGATGGCATCCTCTCCTTCCCACCCCTGGCCTGCTGCTCTCCTAAAGCAGGGTTGGGCCAGGAAGGTATTGGGAGCAGCCCTTGTTTAAGATGACAGTGCTGTGAGCAGCGGTAAAGGAGGGATGACTGAGTTCTTTCTGTGTTGCGCTTTTGAGACTGTCTATAGGAAAATGGAACCTGGGCTCTGGCCTGAGGTGTGTGCTGGTCCCATGTCTGCCCTGGCATGGTGAGTGCCACGTGGATGCCAGCTGTGTCTCCTTGTCAATGTTCCTTGTCAGTGCTGTGAGGGACTGGGGAGAAGGAAGGGACTGGCATGTGCTCAACTGCCTCCGTGGACTGTGTCATTGAATTCACAGTGCAGACCGTGTTTTCTGTTGTAGTTCTCTGCTGCAGCCACAGGGACTGGAGCTACAAATGGTCTGTTGTTTGGAATTTCGTGGGATTTCTCTTACTCCATTCTTCTGGGTTCTCGGCCTCCCAAAGTCCTGGGATTACATTTGTGAGCCCCTGTGCCCTGCCTGCTGGTTTTTATTTTTTGAACCTTCATCAGCTTCAGTGGAATAAGTTCCAACTTCATCACATGCGGAATTCTGTACCGTTGAGCTTGTCTTTGGGCAGGTGGCCCTGAGACTCTCCCATGACTCTGTCTGCACCTCTTCCTTGACTGTGTACGCACAGCACGTCAGGGTGAGGCGGGGGCCTTGGAGGTCACTTTGGTCCTGGAAGACTTCCTCTGTGTCCTGGGCCCCATGGTGGGGCTTGAGAGAGCAGTTGCTGTTTTGTGTTTTCTTCAAAGTGGCTGTGTTCCTAATTCAAGATTATGTCTGTTGTTGCAACCAGAGACTTACTCTCCAGCTGTGGCTTGTCACTAATCAATGACTCTTTGTTCTGGGCTGCTGTGAGGGCAGGGCCTGGATGCCAGGTGGGCAGGGCAGAGCCTCCCACTGCAGCATCACCTCAGCAGCCTTCATCTCATGAGCCCGTGAACATCCAGGGGGCTGCAGCTGTGCCATGTGGGGGCAGCCCAGCAGAGGGTGCTGAAAGCTTCATTCCCTTCTGCCATCTGTGGGTGCTCCAACCCATTTTCAGAAGTTTGCTGTTGTGGTAGAGGGAGCAGGAATTGGGGGAAGCTAGGATAGTGGGCATTAACCTGCTCCAGGAAGTGGGCATCATCAGCATAGGCTTTTCGGGGCTGTGGCCATGCAGGAGGGCCAGTAGTGTGTTCAGGTCACCACTCCCTGGGGGTGTTCTTGACTTGGGTCCCAGGGAGAACTCTGCATGGCAGTTAACACCAGAATGCAGTCCTGAATTTGCCCCATGAGTCTTTTCCCTCCCTGGTCTTAGTTTCCCACCTGCAAAATGAGAGAATTCCATTAGGTGATGTTTGAGTTTTAAACGAACTTTTAATTCCAAATAAGTTTTTTGTGTGTTATTTTTAAAAAGCAAAACTGGCCAGGTACAGTGGCTCACACCCGTAATTCCAGCACTTTGGGAGGCTAAGGTGGGAGGATCACTTGAGCCTAGGAGTTTGAGACCAGCCTGGGCAACATAGTGAGACCATGTCTCTACAAAAAATGTAAAAATTCACTGGCTTGGTGGCATGTGCTTGTGGTCCTAGCTGTTCCAGAGACTGAAGGGGGAGGATCACTTGAGACCAAGAGTTTGAGGCTGCAGTGAGCTATGATGGTGCCACTGCACTCCAGTCTGGGTGACAGGATGAGATCCTATCTGGAAAAGAAAAAAAAAAAAAACAGGGCAGGCACGGTGGCTCACACCTGTATTCCCAGCACTTTGGGAGGCCAAGGCAGGTGGATTACTTGAGCCCAGCAGTTTGGGACCAGCCTGGACAGCACAGACAGACCTTCTCTACAAAAATCAACCCGTCATGGTAGTGTGCGCTTGGGGTTTCAGCTACTCGGGAGGCCGAGGTGGGAGGATCGCTTGAGCCTGGGAGATTGAAGCTGTGGTGAGCTATGATCATGCCACTGCATTCCAGCCTGGGAAGTAGAGTGAGACCCTATCTCAAAAAAAGAAAAAAATATGTAGGCATAGCGAAGTAAATAGTCCCTGTGTTGGTATTGCACTGTGGGCGGCTGGTTACTGGGTGCCCTATACAGCAGGGGCTCCCAGCCCTCAGGCCATAGACCAGTACTAGTCCATGGCCTGTTAGGCTCCAGGCTGCACAACAGGAGGTGAGTGACCGTTGAGCAAGTGTTGCTTCCTCTGTATTCATAGCCACTCCACATTGCTTGCATTACCGCCTGAGCTCCACCTGCTGTCAGATAGGCAGACACATTAGATCCTCATAGAAGCACGAACCCTGTTGTGAACTGGGTGTGCAAGGGATCTAGGTTGTACACCCCTCATGCGAATCTAATACATGATTTGTCACTGTCTCCCGTCACCCCCAGATGGGACCGTCTAGTTGAAGGAAAGCTCAGGGCTTCCACTGATGATGCATTGTGGTGAGTTATAGAATTATTTCATTCTGTATTACAGTGTAATAATAATAGAAGTAAAGTGCACAATAAATGTTACGAGCTTGAATCATCCCGAAACCGTCCCCTTGCCTCACCCGGTCTTTGGAAAAATTGTCTTCCATGAAAACTGGTCCGTAGTGCCAAAAAGCCTACGGACCTTCGCTCTAGAACACACCCCATGACACCTAAGCAGGGTGGTTTATTGAGAGTTCAGAGGGAGGGGAGAAGCTGCGAGATCTCAGGTCACCAATAGACACTGAACAGGAAAGACCTTGGGAAGGAAAAATAAAAGACGAGAGGCCAGCTTCTCTACCTGGCTCACTCTTGTCACTGGGGCTCAAGGGAATGAAGCTGATGAGCTGCTTCAGCCTCACAGAGGAGCGAGGTGTGAGAAGCCAGAATCATCCTGGCTGGGAAGCAGAGACAGGAGCTCAGGGCTCTGAAGCCCAGGGAAGGGCTGCTGCGCAGGGCAGGGTTTCAAGTCTCCCAAAGAGGCTGCTTGAAGGAAGCACATAAAAGGGTCCTTAATCTAAGAGCGTCTCTGTTGACGACATAGTGTCATCTACCGAGTCTCCTTCTTGCCAGCATGAGCTGCAGGCAAGTTGAATTGCATTAGGTCATTGAAACCCCCTATGTGCATAGAACCCCACCTGCCTTTACCAAGGGCCTCATAAAAAGGTACCCCAAGCACTTTCTGAGTATGCATGGATAGCTGCCCACAGCACACTCTAATGGCTGTAATGCTGTGTGCTGTCGGCCCAGAGAACACTGTCTCAGGGCCCTCCTCCACAGTCTTGTTAGTGTTTGTAGCAGTAACAGACATGCAGATGGAGAAGCTGAGTGTTGGTAAATCCACTGGAGGGTGGCATCAGACCTGGAAGGGTGTGTATCAGTCCGTTTTCACACTGCTATGAGGAACTACCTGAAGTAGGGTGTGGTGGCCTTACGCCTGTAATCCCAGCACTTTGGGAGGCTGAGGCAGGCGGATCATCTGAGGTCAGGAGTTGGAGACCAGCCTGCCCAACATGCAGAAACCCCATCTCTACTAAAAAAAAAAAAAAAAAAAAAAAAAAAACTGCATGATTCTGGGTAATTTATAAAGAATAGAGGTTTAATTGACTCACAGTTCTGCATGGCTGGGGAGGCCTTAGGAAACTTATAATGATGAGAAGAGAAGAAGAGTCAAGACACGTCTTACATGGTGGCAGGAGAGAGAGAGCATGAGGGGAAATGCTACACTTTTAAGCCATTGTATCTTGTGAGAACTCACTATCACGACAATAGCATGGGAAAAATCTGCCCCCATGATCCCATCACCTCCCACAAAGTTCCTCCCTGACATGTAGTGATTACAGTTTGACATGAGATTTGGGTGGGGATAGGACCGAACCATATTAGTGTGACAGGTTAATGTCACAGGGCAGACATGTGAAAGGTCCTGTAATTACAGTGGTGGCAGCCGTGCACTGTCTGTCCTCAGGCAGCTCTGACCAGGCTGGTCCCCACCAGGCAGGGAAGCATAATGGACTTCAGGTGGCTGGCCTGAGTGGTCAAGAAGTGACCATTGTGAAGCAAACATTCAGCTTGTCCCAGGCAGCCCCAGGGAGCAGAGACTGGACCCCATGTAGATGTATGTGATCAGAAAGAGTCCTTTGCAAGGGCTGTTTAAAGGGAGAGTGGGCTGTAGGAGTTGAGTTCCCTATGATAGAGAATGTGGAAAAGAGTTGGAGAGGTGTTGGACTAGGGACACATCTGTTCCTGGCAGGGGCTGGCGGCCTCTGTGCCTGGTACTCAGTTTCCCAGGATTTGCAGAGTACCCTTCAGGGGAGGCACTTGTCTGTAAGCCTGAGTGCAAACTAGCCTGGCCTGTCAGCAAAGGTGAGTTGGTGTATCAGTGGTTCCTGTCTTGGTGTTGAACAGGAGAGGCTGGCCTGTTGCAGAGAAGCTTTGAGTGTGGAAGCTTTGCTGAATGGAACTTTCACCTTGCTTTCTCCTGC